AAGTGCTCTTTGGAGGAGTTCTTCAACCAGTTGCGTCAGTGGTATGATCCGCAGATGCACACTGGAATGCTCCCTCCCACCGCCGGGAAGATGCTAAACTAGGTCGCTCGCTGGCATAGAAACCAGTACAAAACGAGCGATCAATGTCCATCTATGCGTACGTTTCCAAGAGATCAAGTGACGAGGTTAGTAGGCGCAAGGCAACACTGAATGATAATACATGCGGATCCAAAATGGTACGTACCGCGCTAGAACGCGCTCCCCGAGTTCCAGTAATCCGATATACGGATGAGTACGCACGGGAGACGCCGTTGGGCGTGATCGACTTACAACCAGGAGAACGGCGCGAGTTCTGGAAACATTACGCGCTGGACAAGTGGTACAAGCAAGCCAAGATCCATGGAAAGCTGAACAATCGGAAGGCCGTGCTACTGCTCGATACAGGTGCAGAGGTGTCCATCCTGGACACCACCTTTGCTCGTGAGGTATGCTGCCAAAGTGATACGAGTGTAACGCAGGAATGTGTGGGCATTAGGGACGAAACGTACTTCACGGTGGAGAAGACGCGCGTCAAAGTCACGCTGGTGGGAAACATGGTGTACTACTTGGACCTCTGGGTCGGAGACCTCGTCGGCCAGAACGCGATCTTCGGGATGAACTTCATGGTATCTGCCGGGATGCGTATTGATACAGAGCATGTCTCCCGGACGAAGTCCGCATCCAGATGATCGGGAGACGACCGCTGTACGGATCGCGGATGCGTCCTGTGACAATCCCGTCGTTGATCCGCGTTGCCACGGGTCAGAATTACGACGTGCCGTTGCGACCAGAGAAGAAGGTACCGCGCTTGTGGATGACGCGAGGAGCAACGTGGGTAACCACCCTGATCAAGGTTCCTGTCGGACGTCGTACGTACTTGCGCGTCACGAACATTAGAGAGAAGCCGACCGTGCTAGTCGCGCATGATTGAATGGTGGACACCGCCGACGTGGTACCGCGCGCGTTTGGGTTCGTACAACCTGGATCGCGAAAGTACGATGAGTGGCAAAACCTGACGTACGGAGCGACCTCGGACGTAAATGACGAAGCCATCTTCCAGGAAATTAGCGGACCAATGACGGGGCGGCGGGAGTACGCCGATCCACAAGCGATCATGGGCCGATCAGAGAAGCCAGGGAACCGGCAGGTAGAGCACCAAGAGAGAAAGGTAGCATCGACATCAACCGTTTTATGGGACGATAACATGAAGTCCACCGATGCGGTAAGCCTCGGGACGCCCCCTCTTCGAAGCTCGAACACGGACCGTGTCTGGAGACGGAGCCCGAGCACGGACCGCGTCTCAGGATGGGGTCGATAGAGGAGCCCGACCCTAGCTTCAAGGAGATTCCAGAGTACGAACACGCTGACGAGGAAGTGATATTCCACGAGGGATCTAATTTATTCGCAGAAGACGTGGAAGCTGAGATGACAGTATTACCAGAGGATCCGTTGACGGCAGAAGTGAAGATCGGAGATCTGAAAATCTGCGTCCGGAGGGAGTCGACCCGCAGGAAGCTGCAGAGATGGAAGAACAGCTGCGCCAGATCGTCTGGAAGAAGCGTAAATGGTTGACCGGGAAAGGCAACGCTCTGCCACCTGCGGCAAAGGGTGTTATTTGCGACATCGACGTGGGAAACGCCAGGCCCGTCGCACAACGTGTCCGAAAGATCTCGTCGCAGCTTCGCGACAAACTGGCGGATCTGATCCGAGGACTTCTCAGCGCGCGTATGATCCGCGCGTCGAAGTCACCTTGGGCTTCCCCCATTGTCTCATCGTGAAGAAGAACGGCGTCGACATTAGACTTTGTGTCGACTGCAGGCTGATCAACGGGTTGGCTCAGTTGATGGTATACCCGATGCCATTGGTCACGGACCTCTTGAAAGGCTTGGACAAGTGCCGATGGTTCTGCTCCTTTGATATGACCAGCGGATTTTGGGTAGTTCCGACGACGGACAGAGCCCGTCTTATCTCCTTGTTCATCACACCATTTGGGCTGTTCGAGTGCTGCGTATGCCATTCGGTCTGTGCAACGTACTACAGATATACCAACGGTTGATAGACAACAAGTCTTACGGCTACTGGAAACGCTCATCGACTGAAGATGCCCGCGATGCTTTGAGGACGGGGTCCCGTCCAAGCCTGGGATGCGGTCCGTGCTTGGTCGACGATCCTATATTGACGATATTCTGATCTGGGGAAAGTCTTGGGACTTGTGCGATAAGGTGGAAGGTCTCCTCGAGGATTGTGAGGAATGGCACCTATCGATCAGTGTCGAGAAAAGCGAATGAAGAACGCCAAGAGTGGATTACTTGGGGTACGAGGTTTCGGAAAATAGACTCGGGGCGAAGCCAAATAACTTGGAACCACTAGTGACGTTGGATTTTCCGCGTACGCAAAAAGGTTGCAGTGGTTCTTGGGCAGTCTAAATTACTATCACTGCATTATCCCAGATTTCGCGATCTTTGCAACCGCGCTCTACTCCCGCTCAGCCCGCGACTTCGAGAAACGCCTCACGAATCCAGAAACGCGTGACATGAAAATGTGGGAACGCGCGTTTGCGACACTTCATATTAAGATCGCGGCTACCCCGATGCTAAAGCACTTTGACGCGGATAGACAACCTGTGGTGATTATGTACGCGAGTGATTGGGCCGTGTCAGCCGTCTTCACTCAAGAGCATGATGGAGTATATATGCCCATCAAGTTCACTAGCCAGACGTTGAAATCCAACGAGCTGAACTACAACATCACCGAGAAGGAGATACTAGCGTTGTTGCGCGTCTTGAACGAGTGCCACAACATGTTGGTGGGAAAGACGATACGCGTTTTGACCCGACATACAACCCTGGGGTGGCTGTTCCGGTCTAAAGGGCTGCAAGGTTGCTTGTCGCAATGGGCCGCCATCCTCTCCCCCTGGCGATTAGAAATTATCCGATCGGCGAAAGGGGAGGAAGCGATTTGAGAGTGTTGGCCGCGAGCATCACGCCGAGGGTCCACGTTGATTCCGCATTGGAAGATATCGCACCCCGAAAACGCCCGTCTAAGACAGCCGCGATCCCGGTCCCTAAAATGGATCGAGAGCCTCCACGTGATCAGCTTCGACGGATCGGCCCGCGTCAAACGCGAGGGCGCAGCGTTCAGCGTCGTAGTTTGGCAGCTGTCGAACCGGAACGTGGTAAAAGCCGCGTCTGGATACGCTGAAGGTCTGACGGTGAACGAAGGCGAATACCGGGGTATGCTACTCAGACTCACGCTCCTAGAAGACTGGAACGTCACACGTTTAATCATATGTGGTGCTTCCAACCTGGTGGTTCATCAAATGCGGGGAGAGGTGGACTGTAAATCTCCCGGATTGAAGCTGTTGAGACAACAGGCACGGAACGTGCTGCGCGAACAGCCCAGGCACGAGTTTCTGCATGTCCGACGAGACTGGAACGCGAGTGCGGCCGGACAGACATTCCAACGCCAAGGAGGCAAAGAAGTCCATAGCGTCGAGGGGATGGAGGATCTGAAGACGCTGAATCGGTTAGAAGTGCTGTAACCCACGCTACCCGGTCTAGAGCGTGAAACGCGCGGTCCAGATAGCGAGGGTCGCGGGCCGGGCAGAGTCTGCCTCGTGACCACCCGGTGGCGCGACACTCCCCACCACATCACGCGGATAAAGCCGGAGGTTTTGAAGGAACTACAGGTGCAACAGCTGAGGCTGGATCGGATCCGCACGGCGCAGGACGAAGAGCGCTGGATAGCAAACCTCAAGAAGTTTATAAGCGGAGATATCATCGAGCTCTCCAAACACGAGGAAGAGCTGTGTGAAGATCGCGGAGCAATACGAGGGGGAGAAAGTGGTTTGCTGTACTACCACGTACGGGGAGACGAATCGGCAGAAAACCGCGATTTGATCATGAAGTTGATTGTGCCAGAGACCCTCCGACAAGACGTGCTACACCACTACCACGCGAGTCTAGAAGAGGGCACCAAGGTATAGGCCGAACGTACCAACGCGTACGACGGCATTTCCACTGTCCAGGGCTATTCAAAAGCGTACAGCGTCGCGTTGGAGAGTGAGTCGACTGCGAGACTGGCAAAGGCAGACCGACGATCTAAGGGGAATCGCCCGGGAATATCATAGCGACGTATCCATTTCAAGTGATCGCGATGGACCATATACCGTCATTGCCGCGTCACACAAAGGAAACACGAAGTTGTTAATCTGGGTCGATCTGTTCTTTTCGGTTTCCGTTATCGCGAAGGCAAAGCGTCGCGTACCTCGCAGACAGTTGCCGAATCATATGAGGAGGCGGTTTTCAGACGATTCGGGGATAGTGAAGCCATTCGCCACGACCAGGAGCCGGGTTTCATGTCCGATTTCTTTAGGGCCTTCAAAAAACACATGGGTCAACGGCAACGAACGACTCTCGCGTATCGTCCACAAGAAAATGGGGCGGCGGAGCGCATGGTGCAGACGATTACGAGGGTCATCAAGATGTACATCGCGGACATCGATCAGCGCGACTGGGACGAGTACACAGAGCGACTCACCTACGCACTGAATACCGCCCACGGTCGGACACGGGACGAAACACCGTTTTTCTTGGTACGTGATTGGGACCCACGGTCCACCCTGGAAACGACGCTAGCGATCGGTAACACCTCACGTCGAGACGCAGATGCTCGGCGATGGAGAATGCATATACAACGTCACTACAAGACCGCACGCGCACAAGCACTCGAGCCGATCCGCGAAGCAGTAAACGCGCGGACTACACGCCAGAACGCGCGCGACGGAACACGCGATACAACGCGGATCCCAAGTCTGGCGGTATCTTGAATGGGTCAAGCCCGGGTACGCGCGCAAATTTGCGCATCTGTGCCACGGCCCGTTCCGCATCGCCTAATTGGGGAGTGTGTATGCCGTACGTCTGGAGACCAACTGAGCACCATACTAGTTGTTTCCAATCGTGCATGTCTCGAAGCTGAAGCCCGTCCGTGAATTCTCGTCGCGACCCGAGTTGCGACTGACGGTGCTAGCGGAGGAGCGTTTCGACTTCGACGAAGAACTCCTCCCGGAGGGCAGCTGGAAGACGCACGACGCGGACGACGACGTGTACGAGGTCGACCAAATTGTAGACGTACGAGACAGTCGCACGACGCGCTATGGACGAACGCGACGCGAGTTCCAGGTGAAGTGGCGAGGATACCGGGAGACGAGCTGGGTAGATGAGCTAGACTTGAACTGCGGAGGAATATTGTATGACTTCCTGCGGAAACGCACAGGTCGGAGCCGATTCGAGGTGATGCAATCCCACGATGACGCGTCTACAGAGAGTTGAACGCCAGTGGATGCTGAAGTCGACGGGGTGGCCGTCGATGGGAGGCAGTGGAGGAACCAGGTGCTGGATTTGGCCAGACCCTGGGAAGATGAGTTGTGGGAAGTCGGGTGGACCGGCTCGTCAGCCGAAGATAGGGCGACGAAGGGTCGCTCTACAACAAGAGACAAGAAAGAATGGAAAGATTAAATTCAAGAATAGCAAAAGGCCTACGTAAAGGTGGATAGCTACTGCTATTTCTAAGGCTGTGGTCGCCCGCATTCCACAAACTTGGAAGCAAGGCGGCGAACAGCCTAAGCAGGGTGCTCGCGTTCCACAGTAGAGTTGCCGGACGCGTCAGGCTGAGTAAGGAAGAAGCAACGCCACGGCTCGTGCGCGTCGATGTCAGCTAACGCGACCTCCAGGGTCGAGTTCCGCAGGTCGGGATACCAACGCCCGACACTGGAACGACCCGGAAGGAATAGGAGCACCATGAGATCCAACAACACGTCCATGTCCACGCGTCCTGCCCGGAAAAGTGTCAGGAGCAGCTGGAACGTACCTACCAAATGGTTACCGGCGTGTGACCGACGCGAGTTCCGACGGCGCCACCGCGTCCGCGCGGGCGTGTTCGGCACCAGGAACTCATGCATCGATTCCCAGTACGCCTGGGCCCAATGATCCAGGTGCACGTCGTAGCGCGCGGGGAAGGGCTGAAAATGGGGGTCTTGGGCGTCGAGGGTAAGCGACAGGGTGTGTCGCGTGGGTAGTCCCACTGAAGGGTCGCGTAAACGTCTTCCACCATTCGCTCCGTCAGCAGTGTAGGGTCCCAGAAGACTGGAACGGGAGATGACGTGGTCGGGAAACTCCAGACGCGGGGAGGCAGATGCTCGACGCGTAACACTCGCGCCGTGAGAATCGAGAGAGTGAGATCTCTCAGAGCGAGGCCAGGGTGTACACCGGCTCCGCGTCCACTCCGCACGGATCTTGAAAGGAGGAATGACTGGGGTGAAGAAAGGCCGCACAGCAGGCGCAACATCACCAGCCGGTGGGGGGGCGCCGGTCCACCGTTAGGTGCGCCATCGTCGCTGTCAGAATCGCTGGAAAATAAACGACCGCCGTCCGACACCACGGGCCCACCACCGGAATCGCGCGAGTGCGCCGAGGTCTCAGACGAGTCCCAGCTTGGATCCGACGACAAGGTAGTGAGTCGACGTCGCTGACGTGCAAGGGGACGCGCGTCAGAGCGTCAGATGACGTTGGAGACGTCGCCCGAGAGCGTGACCCAAGGCTGGAATCGGCCGCAGGAGACGAGAGGCCACCCGAGTGGGCCGCTGCACTGTCAAACGCAGTGTTGTCTGCTATCGTCGACGAACGACGGCTCCGTCGTAGGCGTTGAGCCCCGCGGCCACCCCGACTGGAGAGTGTAGGTCCGCCCGGACTGGTGGTACGAGATGGAGCTGACGACGACGCAGACGACGCAGTAGGGTGAGGCGACGTCGCGGCCACCGCCGGAGGCGCGGGCGTCGTAGATGCCGACGCGCCCATGGTAGAGGCCGCGGAAGAACCGGAGGCCGCGGTTGACGCCGTACTCGAACGCGAGGCAGCTGACGCGGGAAGACCGGAGAGCGTGGCCGCTACACGCCCCACCTCCGGGTCGAGTTCAGGCGGAAGAGGCGTGGCCACGTAGGTAGAAGCCTCGACACGGCTTTCCAAATCACGCACAAGCTGGGTGACGTTAAGAGAACCACCCACCGTGGTCACCATGTCGCTCAGCCAAGTCACGAGCGCGTCGCGGACAAGGCGTGCCGACTCTCGACCAGCGCGGGATTCCCGCAACAGACGGCGCCACGTCATGGTGCGCACAGTATAGGCCAGATCAGACCGGTCAATCAAGCCTTCCAGCCGAGCAGCTTCGGCCCGCGAGGCGCGCTAATTCAACACGAGAGCGTTCTCAATCCCGGCCGCACGGGCCGTAAGGCGACGCTCTCGGTCCTGCATCTGAACCCGCCGCTGAGTAGCTGCACGACGAGCATCCACCAGCGCGGACCGGAAGATGGTAGCTCGGGACGCAATCGGAAGACTGCTGGCCTGGACGGCGTCACGATCGGCCTGGGCCGAGACGCAGGCTGCTTCGTCAGCCGAAGATGACTTCTCCAAGTCACGTATGAGGGTGACGTCTTGTTGGTACTCTTCCACGTGGGCCACGAACAACGCATTCACGCGTCTGATGTCGTCCTGGGCCGGCTAATTGCGCGGGCCACCACTAGCTCGCCGTGCTGCGATCTAACGCACCACGAGCACTGCTCAGCTCCGCAGCTGTGGCGTCACACTGAACGTGATGGCGCTCGCTCTCCGCGCGCGGAATCTCGTTCGGCGGTGATGGAGTGGACTTGAGCTCTCACAGGCACGACGGAAGCTTGCGCGGTGGAGAGGTCGGCACGGACGCGCGACAACTTGTCACCCGTGATATCTGTCTAGGGTGCGCCGTGGACACCGGATGAGACACGAGAGGCGGAGCGGCCACCGACGCCGCGGCTAGCTATGAGTTTAGGCTGGAGATCCGAGCGTTGTCTCGCGCCAGTGCGTTACGGTACGACGTAGCCTCGTCGGCCGTTGTCTTACACAGGTTGTTATACTGTGTTCTACACGTGTTCGTGTGGTGAAGTGGATTCCGAGAAATCGCGGACAGGAAGTGATCGGATCGAGTGAAGTAACAGGTATGCCTGGGTCTGAAGTGACAACGGTGGATCCAGATCTGAGAAGGTCTGATGGGCTCAGATCAACAGATTCTGAGATGACTGGATCAATCTGGGAGGACCTATCTATAGGTGCCTGTATGGGTATAATTATGCCTGATCCAGACATGATTACCCAAGGCGATTCAAGATCAAGTAAACAAGGTAAGCATTAGGCGGTATACAGTCAGATCCGAAGATAAGCAGATGGTGGGAAGGAAATATGTGGATCCACATAGTAAAAGATGAGACAAATCAGGATCAAGAACTTAGGAATAACAGAGAATCGAATTTGCATCATTGGGCACAAGTGGTTGGTTTCTTTGTTGATCCACACTTAGTGTACTACGGACACCTCAGATCAAGGCTTATACTGGTCATTGGTGGTCGAACTGCCTTGGCGGTCATCATCCCAGTCATCTTCCTGCTGCTTCAGCACATATTCCAGATCATCCATGCTCCTGAATCGCTGACTCTTCAGGATGCTCTTCAGTTGTGAGTCTGCCAGTCGGTGTGTGAATCTCTTGACGTGCTGTTCACGACGTCG